TATTAAGACTTTATTAGCAAAGAAGTATAAAAACTTCTTGCAAACATCTTTTTTGTGTGTGGTCAGAGGATCAGCGAAAAGATATAGTTGTTTTTTTATTTTCTTATTTATATAAATTAATTAAATATTATATTATGCAAATTATAAATATAATTCTTAGAAAATAATAAAATTATTTTATAATTTATTTATAATTATATTTACACGTAAAATATTTTATTTTTGCTATGTAAATATACTTTTATCAACTAAGTAAATAAATTTCTAATAGTGTTTTCTATATTCAGTAAAATTTATTTTTATCAAATTTGAATATAAGTATATTATTTAATTTTAAAATTTATTTTTTATTAATATCTATAGCATTATATAGATAGAATTCATTGTAAAGAATATATTTAACTAATTAATTAAAGTCAATTTACTTAATAAAATAAAAAGTTTATTAGAAACAATGATTATAAATTAATGATAATAGTTTTAAATTAAAATTTTATAAAATTTTATATGCAAGTAAATAAAAACATAATAAACAAGATTAATAAATAACATATTATCTATTAAAACATTGGTTTTAATAATATTTTATACTGTATATTATGATTAAACTCAAAAATTAAAAAAATTTTCATATAAATGTAGAGCTTAGATATTAATAATAAAATTCTAACGTAATTTCATAGTATATAGAATACATTGTGTAGATTAATTTTACTTAATATTTAAAAGCGATATAATTAATAAAATGAAAAGTTTATTATGTGATAACTTTTTACGTTTAAAAAGTTTCGGATTTTTCGAAGTATCCCGTGTATAAAATTTTTTTTTATCGAGTAAACCGGAATTAACTATCTTCAATTAATGCATCGATCATCAACTAATATGGAACAGTTTGAACGTTGGTGATAGATGTGAAGCATAACAAATTAAATTTAAGCACCACGCCCACGAAACAATAATCATCTTCAAAAGGGCAAAGATTGCATGATTGCTTCATAAGTTAACGCTAGATCCTTGGGGAGAGAAACCATAAATGAATCGGGGTTTTCCACGTTTGTTTTAAATTCCGGATCCATAGTCTTAAGAGAAGGATCAGACATGGCAAAAGAAGTCTGATCAAACCCTACTGTAGTAATATTGATAATTCCACGTTTTTTTTTAGCGGGGTTTTTTCTTTTGACATTAACAAAAGAAATCGGAAACTCTATTCTAAGTCTTGATTTAATATCGATCTCCATTCTCTTGTAATATTCCTTAACATATTTTGGTTCATCCCTCCAAGCGTCACTGGCAAGCTTAGAAATGTCTTTACGCTTAAAACCAAGCTTTTTAGCTTCGCGATTGTACGCAATTCGATAAATGAAAAAGGCATTTGATGCTCTATTAACATTAACAGTGCCTTTTTCTATATGCTTCCTAACTAATTCCTCGATGGTGATTAATGGTGGAAAAGGGACCTTAACATTAGGATTTTGATTCTCAGCCATCATATTATGAATGACGAGTATATTTTCTTTAACAAAAGAAAAGGGAATATTTTCCTACCATTTATAAGATTTCCAATTTTTTGATAAAGGTAGAACTGTGTTTTGTGACACGAAAACATATTAGGAAAGTTGAAGGTTTTCGACGTCGCGTAAAAATGAGTTCTACTAAATATGTAATTATCGAATATTGACCAAAAATGTAAATCTCAAGTTCTACTAAATAAATAACATCTGTGCATATATGCATGTGCTAAAAAAACCGTACTCCAAACCCAGCCAGATGGACGTATCACGAAACGAGCACTGCGTTAATTTATCCAAACACGAGCCTGTCTATGTAATAAAAAATTGTTCTTTCAAACGGTTGTAGCCCGCTTCAGGATTCATTTTAAAGTATGCATGTACCCTACTTTTCATTAAAATCAAAGGATGATCGTCTTTACTGTGCCAAATTACTTATGAATGATCGAATCACTGAGTTCGTGATTATTTAAAAAAAAATTAAAGTATGTAATTGCTAAAGTATATTTGACTGATGAGATGCTATTGCTATAAATAGTACACTATGAACTCTCGACCCACGAATGTTTACTCTTTTTTTTTTCGTTTCGATTGTCATCGATCGATCCGATCAGAGGAATTGATCTCTTTAAGCGAAGAAATTCAAGGAAATGATGAATAAATTAAATTTAGCAATCGGACTCATCTTACTCCACGATTCTTTATTTCATGTAGCATCTCGTCAAGAAACTAATTTTAGCATGAATCTGAAAAGAATCCTTATATAAACGAGCCTGGAATTTCGTTGTTCAAAAAAAAACGAAAAGTTGAAAACAATAAGAAAGATCATTTAAATCCAATCGATTCATTTTCTTTTGTGCAACAATTTCTTCTTGACATAAAATATTTTTTATACAAATTCGATTATGTATACCAGAATTCTTTTGCTTATCATCCTTGTTTGCATCTTTTCACAAACTTTTGTTCAATCAAACCATGACTGCGGCCACAAACTCGGTCATAAATCGGTGAACCCGGGAACGGGAGCTGGGTGCGTCACCGCTTCCGCCCCCACTGAATCTGCGAGTGTTCCCCCTTCCTCCCCCACTGCATCTGGACCCGGATGTGATGGCAACAATAGTGTCTCTATGATTTACGCAACACCTTAAGAGATCTAAGTCGCGATGCGATGGAATATAGATTTTATTTCATATTAAATCACGTGTTTTACTATGTATACGTATATTTTTTTTCCTTTTCCTTTATTCTTTTTTATTCCGTATGTTAAATGAGCGCGCGCGTAACCGTTGTCGATGGAATAGTTTCCATGTATTTTTTACTTTAAAGAAATAAATAATAAATTTTCTTCTTTTACACCATCATCATTTTTGTCCGTTAGTAAGATAAATATTGTGTATATCGGAATATGTATGAAAAAGAGAATACGATCAAACCGCAGAGTTTGCGGTATCGTCATTTGAACCTTTAATGAATTTAATATATTACAACAATAGATCGCATTCAAATGTCATCAAGTTTTTTTTTGGTATTACAATTTTTAGAAAGCACATCTACAAAAACCTAGTGACTGCTTCGTCCGGATCATCTTCATCCCCATCAGCTACGACACCCCATCCTCCCCCTCCTGGTGTACATATAATGACCCTATCACCAATTCCCACCTGAAACGTGTTTTTACCACCGAGGTTAAGTATTCTCTCTCCGCTTTCTTCTTCCTGATTTGCCCCATCATTTTTACGTATCCAAAGGTTAAGTCCTCTAGAACCATCTTTACCCCCATTTAATCCATACGGATGATATACTCTCCTCTCGGACAGAATACTCACCTGTATGGATTCCCGAAATTCTAAATCGCGTATCACCCCGTCTCCGCCTCTGTGCAGTCCCTTCCCACCGGATCCTATTATATCAGCGCATCATCAATGCACAGATGATGAGAAAATCATATTTAAGAATTTTATTGAAAAACTTCTTACCTTTACGCAAAGAAAATTCACGAAGCAAAACAGCGTGATTCAATCGTCTTTCAAGAATCTCCGGATCAGTAATTCTTGTGTTTGTCATGTGCTAAATTAAAAAATGGGTGGTGATCGATCGCGTTCTCGAGAATTTATACATCATCTGAAGAAGAAAAAGAAAACATCGAGACATACAACATGCACACCGGATTGTCCATCCCATGTAGGTCCCGCGCCACTACCTATAATTATAAATATTATTCATCGATAAAAGGGTCATAATACAATAATAAACGTGATCCGATGATTTGATTAAGGGATTCAAAGTGATGATGGCAAAACTTACCACCAGCAATGGTCTCGTAATATCCCCATCCGTCCTTGACTTTTTTCCCATCAACAAAAATCTCATCCTTTCCAAATGTTAGATTATTACAATCTCCTTGACTTGCAGCACACGCCTGAAAAGCTTTTAGTATTGTATCCACGAGTCTTTGAGACGTCAATACATTTCCGCCTACTACGGCTGCTCTATCGGACGGATTTAAAAATGACTTTTCCGGAATTCGAATGTCAATCGGGGTCAAGCATCCTTGATTCAAGGGGATATCGTTTGCAATTAAGGAGCGCAGGCAGTATATTATCGCGCTAAAAGTAACCTGCACACCAAGTCTGGTTAGATTTAACTCCTAAAAGAAAGGTGGAATGTATTGAGAAAATGGAAGCGAATACCGATGATGGTGCGTTGGTGTTTCCTGGAAGAAGATAAAGAAAACTGTTACTCGAAGGGCATGTGCTATAATAAAATTTGTTGATTGGTGTATCGTACCGTAAACTTCGGGTCCGGTTCCGGCAAAATCGAATACTGCCGAACCTTCCTTCTCGTCGATGGTTATTTGCAATTTTATGGGAGTTCCGTCGTCCATATAATCCATCGCTTTCAAAACATTACTACCGATCTTTCGTCTAACATCTTTTAACAATTCCCTGACCGATAACTCCGCGTTCTTTCTAATGTGCATCATATACGCTTGGACAACATCCAGTCCGCACTCTCTGATCAAAGCCTTCACGAGTGTGATACCTTTGTGATTAGCTGCTACTTGAGCTTTTAGGTCAGAGATGTTGTCACGAAGGCATCTGGTTCCACTGCAACCGGGATAACGAGCGGGTTGGTGTAATAGAATATCGGTGAGACCATCAATGTCGAATTTACCTCCGGACACGATTTTAAAAGATTTTATGGCTGCATCTTCTTGATACAACTCCTTTGAGTGAGGTGGCATGGAACCTGTAAATTATGCGCATATCCCAATTACTTGGAGACTTTTGAAGTATTTCGATGATTCTTTTGTGAACGTGTTTTTAGAAGAGCGATTATACCTGGTAAGCTACCCCCAATATCCGCGTGGTGACCTCTCGAGGCAACAAAGAATACAATTTTGCCCTCATTGAATACAGGCGTGATGATGGTGATATCTAAAGACGATGGCATCATTTGTTAAGTGAATGACCAATTAAATATCCTTGTTAAATCCTGATTTACCTGGTAAATGGGAACCACCGGCCTTAGGATGGTTGGTCATAATGACATCTCCGTCTTCCAATGCACCACCATTATAAAAGTTAATTTGATATATGACGGCATGACTTAAACTGCCAAGATGTACCGGAAGGTGGGGAGCTTTTTTTTTTTAAAGAAAAACCATGGAGATAAGTTAATTGAGTTGAAGAATAATATTTGAAATAGAATCGAAGAGCGTTTGGTAAACACCAACCATTGGCAACCAATCCTCCATCAGCACCAAACAATGCACAAGAGAAATCCAATCTCTCTTTAATATTGGTGGATACAGAAGTCTTCTGCAAGGTGTTTCCCATTTGTTCGGCAATACTCATAAACCGATGTCCAAATATTGACAGTTGAATGGGATCTAGTTCAGCAGTGATTTCTGGTCTGGCACCCTCACCGACTGTAATGATTATGTGTGAAGTAGTAATCAACGCGTTACAGGATGGGGCCACAAGAATCGTCGAGTTTGCATCAATTATCAATGCTGGTCCGGAAATCTTGTTGCCGACCTGAAGTTTGTCCAAGAGGTAAATTGGGGTTTGGCGACGACCACCTTCGAAATAGATCGAGACATTGTTATCACGTTGAGACACGTCCACAGGAGTGTGATTGATTCGTTGCTCTTCTTCGAATACGTTGTTCCAGGAGATGTCGTGACCTTCACCTATGCCGCGAACTCTAATGTCATCCACAATAATATCGCGGTCAGGTAAAGTAAACCCGAATTCTTGCTGATATTGTTCAACAAATGACTGAATAAAGTTCCATGAATCCTTGGGTTCTAAGGTCATCAATGCAAAATCCGTGCCTTGATACCTTAAGTTAAGATAGACTTCATGTTTAATTTGTGATAACTCGAATCCTTGTGATTTTAGTTCTTCGGTACAAGCTTCACGCAGGGCTTGAATCCTTTCTTTCAGATATGCCAAGGAATCATCAGAGTATACTTTTGAACAAGGCTCTTGAACCTCATGCACCACATTTGCTAAAGCAAGACCGTAAGCCGACAGAATCGAACCATACCGATGGATCAATATTTTTCCTATGCCTAAATTTTGAGCAATTGCACATGCGTGTTGACCGCCCGCACCCCCAAAACACGCAAGAATGTGTTTTGATGTGTCATAACCTTTTGCTTCGGTAAGGGCGCGAATTGGACGACACATGGCTTCATTGGCCACTTTTATAAAACTAAGATTAAAATTATGAATGAGTAAATCTACAAAAGTTTGGCCCAATGTTAATAACATACCCGAAAGCAATCTCGTCTATATTCATCTCTTTATTTTCCGAATTGAAGGCATTGATTTCTTTCGAGAGCTTCTCGAATTCGCTTCTTGTGGCACCTATGTCCAGCGGTTGGTCCTCATTGGGTCCAAAGATTTTGGGAAAGTAGTCCGGATTTAGCCGACCAAGAATCAGGTTCGCGTCGGTCACGGTTAATGGTCCATCTTTCCTGTAGCAAGTTGGACCTGGATGCGCACTTGCACTCTACAAGCAGGTGTTAAGGTTTTTGCATACGTAAAAATGAATTTATCACACCACAACCTCACTTGTTACTTAAAGTACCTCCGGTCCCACAACAAACATTCCATTGCGAAAGAACAAACGCGATCCTCCACCGGCAGCAACCTTGTGTACATCATTATTAAGTGGATGTGAAAATTTATGTGCAAAAATAAAACAAAATAAGTAAATAAAAATAATAATAATAACAAGTGACCACTGACTGTATGGATATCCAACTGTGGGGCCTGAATTGACACGCCGGCCGTTGTAGTTTCAAATACGTGTTCATATCGACCGTCGAAACGTGACACATCTAATAATATTATTCGTCGTCAACTTGAATAATCAAAAAAATCTGGCGAGGTATGAATATTCGCACCTGTACTGGTGCCGCCCATATCAAACCCGATTACAGGAATAAGATCCTCCTTGCTATAGGATGTTAATGCATAGCCCACCACACCGGCAGCGGGTCCTGACAGTATCGCTCTGAATCCCGAAAATTTATTTACAGGCACTAGACCTCCGTCGCTTTGCATAAATTCCAATCTGACATTTTTTTTCAAATTCTCATCGAAACCTGAAATAAACCCGTTAATGTATTTACGAATGCAGGGTGTAAGATATGCATCGGCCGTTGATGAATTGCCCCGTGGAACAATTTTAATCATTGGCATTATCGAGGATGAAAGTGAAATGTGCGTGAACCCGATCTCCGTTGCAAGTTCACCAAGTTGACGCTCGTGATCTATGTATGAATGTCAGATAAGTAACTATAACTATTAATATCATCGACATAATAATTTGCGTCCTCAAGTTATTCTAACCTGGATAGGTATAAGAGTGCATCAGGCATATTGCGATGCTTCGGAATCCTTCTGCATATAGAGACTGCATATCCTCCTTCACTTTATCGAGGTCTGTAAAGATGATGATTAGAAGCTAAGAAATACCATACCATACTTTTAAAATACATCTAAAATATACATGTACTTTCCGAAGTTATACATCGATAAATGCATATATACTGTACATACCCGGTCTTTGGAGTATCTTTACGCATTCTCCGGAAATTCCTCTCAAGACATCGTCAGAATCATCGCCCGATATTTCTTCAATTAAACTCACGCTAGAGCGAAAATCAATATCAATCAGAAACAAGCGTTAATATAGAAGAAAGGAATCTTAAAGGTGGTTGAGTTTATAATACCGTTCGTCGACTTCTACGACCTTTTGATATAAAACATCGGGCTTGCGGATGGCAAGTTCAAATATCTTTGGACGAGCTTGATTTCCTGTTGAACATTTGCGAAAATTGTTTTTAGAAAAAATCGATTGATCATTGATGGATTCATCAACAAATCCTTACCTATGACTAAGAGATCCTATCATGTGATTTTAAATAAGAGTACAGAAGAAAATTTAACGTTAATGAGGCTGCGATTCAGGCATCGAGAATTTAACAAATACCTTAAATCCCTTAGTAATTAGAAGAGCACATTTCTCCCCTTTTCTTTCCAGCAAGGCATTCGTGGCAACAGTCGTTCCCATGCGAATTGATTCTTTATCATAAGATTGATTTGAAGGTTCGTTGATTTGAAGAAAATTATCGATGACAATCGGATGAACCCAAATATACTTACCAATAGAAGAGGTGTCTACAGGCTTATCCCGAGGATGAGGCTTCCCAGTGAAGATTTCCAAGATTCTTCTTATTCCTTCGCGAGGAGCATCCGGGTAATTTTGTGGATCAACACTCAACAACTTCACCACGACCTCGCGACGTCCCGTCGGATATTCCTTCGATATCGGAGCAGTGATACTTCCAATACAATCGGTAAAAGTACCGCCTCTGTCGATACTAATTCTAATTCTTCCTTTTTCTGTCGACATTTGGCTATGGCGTGTCGTAAAGCCGTGGCGGAAAATCAAAAGCTTTTTATATGAAGTTACATAGTCATTATGAAATCGTACACGTAATCGGAAATGCCAAGACTCCTTTATTTACCTATATATGGTCTGGTCAAATCGAAAATTGCCAAATAATGAGATTTCGTAATTCTTTCAATTTCCGTACGTACTTTTTCCGAGATCACGTTGCTCGAGTATACGTTAATTAATGTTTTAAAGTTTATATTTATTTCAAGAAGTGGAGGATACTTTTACGTACTAACGGAATACACGATTTCTATATTCCTTCGAAACCAAGTAAATCCACCACCCATTCAAACAAGTCCAAACAAGGCCGATCAACAAATCCCAAGTCCAAAACAACCAACCAACCTCGACATTTTCATATCCCGGATGGAATAGGAAATACCCCACATACCATAGAACGAAGTAAACAACATAAACAGCGACGAATCCAAGGATAGGTATTATCACAAATTCTGCCACAAAGCTTCCATTTTCATTCCACCATCCTTTAATAATTGGTGCATTTCTTTTCATAAATCCTTTGCAATAGTTATATAACTTCGGAACAAGTTTAAAGGTGAACATGTTAAACGAGAATTTGAGAAATTTTAAAGCGTGCGCTGGAACTTTGTATCTCAAAACCAAATCGAACAAAAGGAAATTAAGAGCATCAACTATTTTTTCCGGGATACGATATTTCAAGAAAAGTCCCATGAATCCTATAATAAAATTAAGAATTGCAAATAAAGAATCTCGGAGGAATAGTATGGTACTTCTTAGAATACTTCTTGACCGACCCGAAGTTGGAATGTTATGAACCGAAAAGACCTCAAAATCTTTAATATTCGCGGGATTTTCAATCATTTGTCTTTGAAGATTGTCGAGTAAGGTGTACTCAACATTTTGATAGCGCAAGACGGATGGCTGATCGTAAGAGTCGGTAAAATTTAAAGATAAATCTTTTCCGAACTTTAAACTTTTATCGGTGATAGATACGACGGGGCACGTTTTAGAGCTACCCAGTTTGCATATTCTTCCAACTTCTTTTGGATCATCACGGTCGTTATCAAATGCGAAGATAAAACTTTTTCGTGCACGAGCATTTGGTTTCAGTGAGGTTACCCATGGGGTTGGGTTATATCCCCCAACTATCAAATCCGATCCTTCGAGTCTGATAAGTATAATAGTTGGACCTTTATGTTGGCACGCTTCCAGAAAGTCCGCCCTGCTAAAACCACCCTGACTCCCGCGAGTGAGAAGATTATAACGATATTGTGCTGTCTTTTTTGTTGGTCTGACCTTTTGCCAAAGAGAGCTCGCCTGTTGATCCTTGATCCATTGCGAAATAAGACTCACGTGCTTTATAGATATTAAATTCGATTCGATCTTTCCTACACGTTTAGGCAAATTAAAAGATTCCGGTTTTCTATCTGGATTCACGTGATACCTCACAAGGTCTTGATATAATTCGTCTAATGATTTTGTGAATATAGCTGTTAACTTGCGTTTTTTTTCCACTGGATTTCAAAACGAATATTTTTACCTGGTAAGATTTTTGCATAGGGGACAACGTTCGTGGTAAACTCTTCGCCAGAAATATGCGCCCACCGAATCAAATGGGCGAAATTTTGCATTTCAGACTTGATGGCAATGCATTGCTTGGTTGACCAATGTTCGGGATCTTTTGGAAGATTCGGAAATTGCGCAACACACCACTTGACCACTTGATTCCAGACCTCAGTTTCATCCATCAAAAGATCGTCCCTGGACGCCATCAAGATCACATCGTTTAACGGCATCTTAGAAATATTTCCCAATTGAAGCATCAACTCAACATCGGTTTCAATTATATTTTTGTAAAAATCTTTAAGTATTCTCAATGATTGGCGTTTAAAAATTCGTGGATAAATATTGTCAATATTTTCGCACAACCATTCGGTTCTGTCGTTTATGAGGATATTTTGAAGATATCTCACTAATTCGCTAAGTTCTAATTCATCCGCGGCCAGAACGAAATCTACCACTAAGGTTGGATCATCGGTCAAAAATGGTTCGTTCGTGGACATTAAGACATCCAAGAGGTTATCCGTTTCAACATTATGCAACGGCACAGCTCCGGTGTAAATATACCTGAGATAATAATATTGGAATGAGATGTTAAAATAAAAAATGCAATATATGCTATTATACAAATTCGTGAGAAATTTTTCCATTTATTTTTCCTGTCAATAAGTAGTGCCCATTCACCGAAAAAAAAAAGACGAGTGCATGCAGTATATTAATACGTTACCTCAACAAGGTCTTGAAAATACTTGGCGAAATATCTTGTTCATAAAATTCCATAACTCTTCCGGGATTCAGAGGTGTGTCATTAATTTTCCTTCTGAAATAAGGCGATCTCGCGGCAAGTATCACCGAGTGTACATCATACGTTCTCTGATCATATTCGCCAACGTGTATTTTTACGTCACAGCCGTATCCACTTCCTAGGTATTCACCAAGGTCCTTGGATAATACTTCGAAGAGATCGCTTCCCATTTCTAATGTGTGTCAATATTATGAAGAGAATGTATGCTGTGCACCAAAGGAAAACGTTATGCATTTAAAGGATTTTCTTATTGTGCGCACATGCATGTAGATGCAAGCATCATGATTTTCGGAAACAATAGACTGCTTAATTGGAATTTTTGTGAGATATCATTTATAGAAGAATGAGCGACCATGATTGTTTTGGAACTCGCGAAAAGAACCAAACTTAGAAATCTCCGGTGCTAACTCCGTTGCATATTTGTAATGTTACGTCTTAAATGAATTAAATCTCAACAACCCATTGATACTGGAATGAGTAAACGCTATTACTACTCATTGTGTACTCTTGTTTTTTTTTGCCAATTGTATATGCACCTGAAAATTTCCATGTGAGGACAAAATAGTTCAAAAACTTACTTCGTATGCTTGACGCAATCGGCAAATAAAAGTATAATTTATGCATATAAATGGTTAGAATCATAAAGACCCGAGCCTTTTAAAGAATCAAAAAAAGAAAGAAAAAAATTTTTTTTTTGTTTTTTTTTTTTAGCATTGCTTGTTTAAACCTAATTATTAAGTCTTTGTGATAAATGAAAAGAACTTTATTTTATTATCAAAAATAAGAATTAAACAAAGCGAAGATCTATCTTATTTAATTCGTCATCGAAAAGTAAATACCAAATGGATTATTTTGAAGATTTATTAAAGCAATCTTAAACAAAGTTTTGGTTTGATATAATCAATAATATTTTATAAACGAAAAAAAAAAATGCTTTTATAAATTGAAAAGGAATTTTGTTTATTAACAAGAAAAGGACTCATTTAAGATATAAATTATTTGTAAAATAAGAATTGGAATTAATATTAATATAGCTATTTCTTTTAAAAAATATGTAATTATGTTATCTTTGATATGTCTTTATTGAAACATTAAATAAATATCTATAATATTATATTAATTTTCATATGACAATTAGTTCATCATTATATGTTATTAATTTTTTTTTTTTTAACATGACATGTTTTTATTGAGATATTTAATAAATATTCACAATATCATATAGACTATTTATATAATAACTAATTCAATGTTGTATATTATTAGTTGAAGGGTTACATTACTTTAAAAATATAAGAAATTTGTTAAACTGATTTGAACTAAAACAAAGTTTCAACTAGATATTTTAAATTAGATTTTAAAAAATATATATTACACTTTTTTAATAGATTAACATTTATAATAATTTTCTATTAAAATTATTACCAACAGTTTATCATTATAAATTATCTAAAAAATAATAAATTATTAATTAATATATTAAAAAAAAAAAACTTTTTTAAAATTTTTTCATTTAAATTAACAGTTTTTTTTAAAAAAAATATACTATATATTATATATAATTAAAAAATATTTCTTTTTAACTCTTTGTCAAGTTAATTATATATACTTATTAAATATAATGTAAACTATATTAGTTAATATTATTAAAGCTAAACTATTAACTAACTTACTCATTTTAGTTTGTTTTCAAACTCTAAATACAATTTTAAGAGTAATTGATTATTCTATCTATAGTTTGGATTAATACTCTTCTACTATAAACATTATTATCTCAATTAGTATTTAGAAAATTTAAAGAAAAATTAACTATCACACCTATTTTAATCTATTTAATTTTTTTTTCAAGTTTTTTCTATTATATACTAATGCTTTTTACAAAGGACTAAAAGCTGTTCTAGCTTAATTAAATGAAGAAAAGAATAAACATTGATAGCTTATGCAAGTTGAAGTCTTATAGAACCTGAACTTAATTATTCTATCACTGAAATTGAATGTCTTATTGCTGTCTAGACCATTAAATACTTTTGTTTTTATATTTATTTTTAGAAATTCATCCTTATTACTAACTACTCAACTATTTAATAAATAATTAATAATTTTATTTCAAACAATAAACCAACATAATAAATACTTACAATTATGGATTACCTCTTTAAATTTAATATTAAAAAGATAAAAAGCATCAAAATACCAATGTATTATCAAGACTCTTTTAATATTTAATTATAAATTTGAAAATTTATTAGCAATTGTATATATATTTATTTACTGAAAAACTACTTTTATACTTAATAACAAAGAAAATAATTTTCTTCAAAAAATAAATGACACATTATTTTACTCAATACTATACATTATTTCAATACAATACTAAAAACCCACTAGAACTATTTAAAGTTATCAAGGTAACTGAATTGAAATCAATTTTATACAATTTTTATAGAAATATTCTTATTAGATATTTTAAAATCGAAGTGTTCTACAATTAATAAGAAGTCAATATTATTGATCTAATTAATACAAATTATTGTCAAGTATATTAAAAGTTATAATACTTGCCAGGAACAAAATGCACCTATTCTATATAAGTAATTTTACTCTATATCTGTTGAATAATATTTTAATTGAATAGAAATTAATATTATTAGACCTTTATTAATAACTTCTCAAGGTAACTAATATATTATTATAGTCACTAAATATCTTATTAGTGGCTTAAAATAAAATTTCATAAAAATACCAAAGCTATTACTATTATAAAATTCATATATACAGTATAAAATATTATATATTAATATTGATATTCTAAATTTCTCTTATCTGATTGAAAAATATCATTTATCAATAAGTTAGTAGATACTTTATATAAATTAATACGTATTTTTTATTAAATCTTAATTACTTATTATTTATAAATAAATAAATTAACTAAACAATCTAACAAAACTCTCTACAATATTCTAGTCAAATATGTGAGTAATTATAGTGATATATAGAATACTTTTTTGAACTTAGTACTATTTATCTATTACTTTATTCAAAATTATATTATTAAATATTTATTATTTAAACTATTTTATATTGATTTTTAGAACATTAAACAAGAATTTAATAATGTCTTGAATTAACAATTACAATAATATATTGGATTTATTACTAGTAAAAAAAAAAAAAACTCCTTCTGCTAATTCTCTAATCATATATAAAAAAGATGTTCACAAGAAGTTTTCAACTTAGATACTAATAAAATCATTATACTCTTTTTAAAATTACTTGAAGGTTTTTCTTCAAAAGCTATTTATATTCTTCCTTTTCTTGTTTATAATTTTCTTTGATCATAAACTTGGTTTCAAAAATTAAGTAATACCTTTATTATTAATAGCAAAAAAGCTTATAAAGAAAGAAGAATCAATAGTTAATGATGGGTCCCTAAAGTATTTAGTATATAAAATTTCGCAGATCACATATGTTCTTTTTTGAGGAACAAAATTCATGGCTCTTCACTTTAATAGGAACAAAAATTAAAAAATACTATAAATTAATGATTTAGATAATAAAGAACAATTATGAATAGTTTTTTTACAGTTATTAATTTAAAAATTTTAATGTTTCCTAGTGAGGGACATTTGACTTATATTCCTGCCTCCCCCTTTAGGAACTCATCTTTATCAATAGTAAAGTATCTGAATAGTTTTCTCCATTTTTTTTGAGATTAAAGAGGTTTTGCACAATAAAAAAGTTTTATCTCTCTTTCTTTTTTACTACTGTTTTTCTCTCAGAACTATTACTTTCACAGTTTTTTGGAAAATTTTACCTATTTCAGTTTAACCCTGAATTTTAAATAGTATAAATTCTCATCAAAGCTAATTGTCTATCACAAAACATATTAACTTTTGAAATATAAACAAGCTCCTATTGAACATATACATATATTTGGATAAGACACTACTTCTTAACATATTATTGGATATCAAAAAGGAGAATAATCTTCAAGAAAACTATTTACTTTCACTTAGAAAAATAAAAAGAACAAAATACTTAAGAAAATATTGAATAAAGGCAAAATTTAGAAAATGCATTACCTACTTATATAAGTTTAAAGCATTGAAAAACTGGGTGATCCCTTGGGATTGCTTGTATTAATCGAAAATAAAATTACCAACAAAAGATATTAATGTAAAGTAATATAGTGAATCAACTTATTTATAATAATAGTATTCCAAGAACAATATTTATTAAGACTAGTAAAGGCATATACTAGAAAAACCAAAATTCCTTTTCTAGATAGATTATTGCAATGAATAAATAAGAATAGATTTAGTAAATAACAAAAGTTTTATACCTTGTACTCCTTCTCTATAGCCCTTCTTCCTCAACTCTCTTCAACTCCAGTTCTAGATACTCTTAAAAACTTTTTTGACTTGTATAGTTACTTAAATAAATATTAAAAAAAAGATTCAACATAAGTAGAATATAACAAGATATAGAATCAAAATTAGAAGACATAAAAACTATAACATGAAAGTACTAAAAGTAATAAAAAAACAGATAATGTACTCTTAATCAATGAAATTTTCAAAAAATACCTAGCTAATAATACAGAAGTAATAGTAGCAGTATATTTTTAAATGTCACTCTATAATAAATAACTATTTTTTCTTTCTTGCCAAGTCCTTTCAAAATGTAAGCAGAATCCTCTTTTCTATTGACTCTTATAAAGCTGTTGTTTTTTTTTAATTATTTTTCCTAGTAGTAGACAATTCTTCAAAAAATTAGTATATAAACATATATTCTCTTATTGGATTAAAATAAATAAACCAAAGTCAATATACATACAGTTGCTTCCAAAAACTTTAAGTCCACTTACTATGTTTTTATTATAAATTTCAACTTTGACAATTTTTAAATATTTAATTATATAATCAAAAATTATAAAATTTATATATATTATATCTTAATACTAGTTTTATTTATTATATTTCTTTCAAAAATTTTTATATGTAATTTTTAAAGTTTTTTTATTGTTAAAAAATTTTTTTTTTATTAAATTTTTATATTTGAAGAATTTTGATTGGTTATTATCATAAATCATATAATAATTAATAAAAAAATAAAGATATTTAGCAATAATAAAACTTTAGAATGTATTAATAAAAAATTTTTTTAA